TAGTTGACCTTCAGCTTACATTTCTCACTCGCGAAATTCTTGACTGTCATTGGTTGATGTATTATTTTAGTACGTTATTTTTGTGACCCTCCCAAGGTCGTTTCTATCATGTGTAAATCAGCTGGATTTGTGCGCTTCTCAACCTCAGATTTTCTGATTGCTTCTAGAATACACTTCCTATACCTTATCAAGACTTCTTGCTTTAGTTAGCTAGGCTCGAGACAATTGGATTAGAATAGCCTATCATGTTACTGGATCATTTGTCTTCCCTCTCGTTTACCGAATAAGATGAACTCATAAAAGTTTCAAGCATATCACTTTACTGTTGACTGCTTTCAGTATCATCAGTCGTATTTTCAAGATTTAGTTTTTATTGTTTGTAAGGTATTTACATCTAACTTGCTCTATGTGTATAGCACAATTTTCAAGTTAGTTTTAATCCTCAACTCATTTCAGTGATTTGAAATCTGAGAGAAAATTAAACATCTTTATATTCTTTTGTACAACTACGCCTTCTTCCGTATCAAGATCCTAGTCTGATGTGTGTTTATGTCTCAGAAGATTTTACTATCAAATGACTGAGACTGAATACAATACAATATTACAAATTTTAATCTTCAGACAATTTAGTATACATAGATTATCTATTGTCATTTCTACTATTCATCTTGTTAAATTTATCAGTCGAGACATTGAATGAGAATCGTAAATAAATGCACATAAAAGCTCGATCCTAGTGATTGTATGTTTAATTGAGTGAATAAAAGTGACCGGATTTTGTATTCTTGCATGACTTACAAGTTCTTCAGAAGATATTAGTACTTTAGTAAAGAAACTATTATTTATGATCAATCCAGTTAAACTAAACAAATGTTAATAAGTTTTGAAAAATTAAAAACTGAAATCTCTTAGCTAAAAATGAGACATTCATTATAGTGAGTGTGAGTGTGTGTTGAGTTTCTTCTAAATTATCAATCGATCATTGTTAGATCACCATTTGAAACCTGGAAGCAATGGACTGCCGTCTCGTCCTCAGCAACGGTGCTCTCACTCGATCCCTGCCCGTGGGAATCGAACCAAGGACTTTCGGTTTTGAGAACGAACCTGAACAAACGAGACTATTTTTTCATTAGACATTATAAGTGATTATCTTTCTAGACTATTACCATTATTATTATTATTATCACAGAAAATGTTATTTGTTGTTATTAAGAAATCTACTTTTTTCTCCTTCTTAAAGCGATAACGTGTACTGAAATTTGAAAATGGTGTTCAAATTCTATTTCACTAAAACAAATAAAAATATGTTATCGTAAGTATTCATATATATATATATATATATATATATATATATATATATATATATATATATATATGTTTTTAGAATATTCACCTAATTGTAAAATGTCCGTTTTGCTTTACTATTACTTACTTAACATACATTATCGTTAACTGTTATTTAATATTCTAAACGTTACATAAAAAGATAATACAACATTCCGATCAAAGGAATCATTCATAGGAAATTATTATCATTGAAAACTATATTCATATAGTATCATAACAATTCGCAACTACTTACAACACCTGTTGAATTGTTATCTCATTTTTATCGAAATGACTAATTTATATTCTCTTTTTTTTAATTCAGCTGACAAACACTTTGTTTTACCGTAACAAAATATCGTAGAAGGCATCAAAAAATACAATTTTTTTTCAAATGAATACAACCATATAATATTTTTTTCCCTTAAAATACTAGATTGGGTTGTAGTGGCTATGTTATTCTCTATATGCTACTCGTTAATGACTGAAGGACTAAACTTATTGAAAAAAAAATTTAAAAAATTAACTTAATTTCAATTTATTTTTTTCTTTGAAGTAACCACTTGCTAAAGTAGATGACAATAAACTACCTTGGTTGTTTTTTTTGCCGAATCACACCCTAATTAATTACATAGAGTTTAACCTTTAAAATTAATTTGGCCATAGTAAGAGATAACCTAGATTTTCTCTAGATTTTATGATACTTTCTTCTGTGCCTAATACTCTGATATCGCATACACTGATTCATTTTATTTGTTTTCTTCGAATTATTAATAACCTTCATTTGACCAATCAGGGAGTAGAACACTTTCATTTTAACTATTCGTCTGTAAAGGTTCATAAATAAATTTAATTTTTTTTTCTATTAATATATGAGTCATTCATGATCAATAAAATTTTTAGTAAAAAGAAAAAAATGGCAGATAAAATATACAGAAAATGATTGACGTGATGTAATTTTTGCCAAAACATCAAATGTATAAATAATAACAATACACTTATGGACAGGCTGGTATAAAATGTCACTATTTGTGTGAGAGATATAATGCTAGATGTTCAATGAAGTGATAAACTTATCTAATAAGTTTATGTTCATGTTATATTTATGAATACTTTGTAAGGTGCATGAACCTATAATAAAACAATTTAAAATAACAGAGGTTGATTTGTAAACTATGTTGGGAGCATTCCTGGTAAAGTAAATTAAGGTAGATTGCTAAGTATTTTATCTTTGATTAGAAACTAACTTTAGTTAACCAATAACCGAATACCATGAAGCAATGAGTAGCTATCCTGTTCTTGTATACAACTCTTCTAAAGAGTGTATACAGGAACATATCAGGAATGGAAACCAGATGCTTCATACATTCATACTAGCTCCTAAACTTTATTCCACCAAGTTGTCACTGATATATTTTTTGTGAGCAATTATTCAGTTACTATTTTATATGATAAAGCAATTTTGAGGCCAAAAATAGAAAGGACCAATCGGTATGTCTGTGGTTTTATTTTCAAACATTCATCGGTATGATTAATTGTTTAGCTGTAGTATATTATTCATTTTTTATGTGTCAAATTGATTTCGTATCTTGATTTTACAATGTTAACTGGGAGACTCGTTTTTATTTCATGGACTTAACCCTTAAATTAGTTTGCTGATCATATAGTTTTGATTTATATACACTTAACTAATAGGTGATATATTTAATTTAACGAAGCATTGGGATTTTAAGGGAATGATTCGCAAGAAAACTGTTTAATACTACTTTCTTTTTTGATATTTGGTTCTTAGTATGTGACAGGTTGCATTAAGTGGTATATTCCAAAATCACTTATTTTGCTCAAGTATATTAACATTTAAGGTTAATTTAAGATAGAACCGAATAATAACTTTAATGAGTCATGTTTATTCAGTGAGCGGTTAATTTGTTAATTATATTATTGCTTTCTCAGTTTAGCTGTTCTACTGCTGATTAAAGCTTTTGATCCTGTAACTGAGTAAAGTTTAAAATATTCTTCAATATAGATATTGAAATATCTTATAAAGTATGATATTTCTTTGAAATCATGAATTGATCAATATTGAACCAGCATTAAAAACCGTGTTTCGTCCCAGTATGGGACTCATCAGCATTGCGCATCCGTGACTGCTACTAGCCAAGATCGGAACCAAGACCTTCGGTCTGGAGCGCAGATGCTTAACCTCTAGACCACTGAGACGGCGTTTGTCTAAAGCTGATCTATTCACGGTTTCAAAGCAATGGTCTACATAATCCTACAATCAAAAGTATAATGTTTGTTAGACTGTTTAATAAATGGATTATTAATGATGCCACAAACAGTTAATCGGCAAAATCTAATGTCTTTTACATTTTTTCCAATTTCATAGTTGATAATTTTGAACGAGATAAGTGCATAGTCTTCGATTTTATTACAAAAACAATAAATTTCTTGCAGTTGTTTAGTAAAATATCAATTAAATAAACTTTAATTTGAAAGTATTAATTTGGCATATAATATTTGTGATCATAGTTCATGTTGAGTCATATATTGAAAATATTAAATGAGGCAGAGAAACATTTGCTCTTGAATTGGATTTTGATAATAACTACGCATTAATAGGTATGATTCATAATTATTATTGTAACGAATACTAATCAAGTAATATTTGTAAGCATATTGACAATTAATCGATAAAGTAATTAAAAGGAAAGAATGAATGGAGTAATTATAAATATTGAATGTGAACTGTTTGTCAAACTAATTACTGAATTGTCTGATAATTCATATACATGAATTGTGAATAGTACTCTTAACAAAGTTATAATCAAAACAAATATTAGCAATATGTATTTAACATAAAAGAATTAAATATACAGTTGGGCATTAAGAATAAATTGAATTATGATAGGTCATTTACAATGCTGTTTAGTGTTGACTAATATTGATAATCAAGTTACAGACTGGATGAATTATTTCTGAACACAAAAGTTTGATTCATTCTAATGAGCGCTAATGGTTTTAGTCATTTCCATCGGAGTTATGTAGTTTTCGATTAGAGCTATGGAGATTAGTGTTTCTACACATTTGAAATCATTAATCAATCATTGTAAAACCCTGTCGTATGTAGGGAGTAACTACCAGAGACAAATGGGTGAGGTCGCGCAAAATCCCTAGATCAATCAGAGTTACCAATTAACACCGCTGGATGCCGGCTCAGTGGTCCAAAAGTTAGGCGTTTGAGCACAATACCGAACGTCCTGGGTTCGAATCCTACGGGGTGCAGGATTCGTGGATGCTGAATGCTAATGAGTCCCATACCAAGACGAAACGGCCGTCCAGTGCTTCCAGGTTTCTATTAGTGGTCTAACAATGATTGGTTGATGATTTCGAATGAGTGGAGTTATGTAGGTTTTAAATATACCAAATATGATATGAAAAATAAAAAATCGATAATGAATAATCAAGTAAACTTTATAAAAATGAACTATACAAAAATCATATAATTGATTGTAAAGTAAAATACAGACTGCAATAGCTAGTTATTTAGTAATAACTGTGTTTTTTCTATCACTTTAGATGGTTTAATATCAAACTTTATGCTAATAAAATATGGAATAAAAAAATGTCTGCAATTCATTAAATTTAAAAAAACAAAAACAAACCAGAAATAAATGAATTACATCAATCAACATCACCAAACAATTGATCTAAATGGATTACAAACAAACATTGGATATTATGAACAGAAAATTTCACAACATCGAAATCAGACTATGCATAATATGAATTTGAATACATTTGATCAACATAATTCATTGGCTAACAGAATGAATACTTGTAAAAATACTACAATGTCTGTGTTACAACAGTCAATACTACATGCTGGTTCAATTGATTCTATGCCAATGTTAATTACTCGATGTAATACATGTTTAATGTGTTTAAGAGAATTAATACGACAAGCATATGATTTAATTATACCTGGTTCACCATATTATTCAGTAATCTTAATGAAAGTAAGTACTAATGAGTTATATAAATTTGTATGAATACTTAGTTAATTAATTAGGCCGTTTGTATTTTTTTATTTACTATTATGTTTGAAATGCTTAATATACGGTTGAATTTACATTTTTTTCTAAAAAGGAATATGAAAATCAATGAGTTCCACTAGTAGTATAGACGAAGTAATGTACTGAATATTTCAAGTCATCGAAATTCCAAGTATGAAAGTGAGTTCATATTGCACCAAGTTTCTACTCATTAAATATGAGGCGACTGTTACGATATTCATCCAATATCCTAAGAGAATTATCGGTCAATTCGTACTGGTTAATTCCTACTGGTCAATTTTATGGTCGTCCTTGATATTAATGTCACGTGTTCGAATGTTGTTTCTCATTGGTTTACCTGACTATCGATGTCACTTCAAATGTTACTTCTCATTGGGCGTCTTAACTGCCAATGTTACAGACTTCGATGCTGTTTCCTATTCGACCAAAATGTATAAATACGCATTATCTGTAACGTTTTATGACCAGGACCAAGGCTCGGTCCCGGATCCCTAGTCCGGGATCCTGATTCTCTTCTGGATTCGGACCTCGTACTTTCTGGATGCTTGTAGAATACAGGTTCTACTTCATATCAAGTCTTCTTATTTTTTACTCAATATGGGGGTTGGGAGAATCGGATTTGAGTAGCATTTCGTGTCACCGGATCTTTGACCCTCGCTCTCGTTTTCCGACTAGGTAAACTCGTAATCGAAATGACGTGTTTACGTGCAGGTGTAACAGCGACCTATAAAGAATGATTTAATTGCTTAGTAGATATACAATTGTTTTTGGAAAGATACCAGTTAAAGTATGTGGAACTCTATCAAGTATTAACTGAGACCCAATTTATGTATGGAATGTACCTTTTACCCTAAACTGTCAAGTTGATTTATTATTATTGGCAATATTTGAATACATTGTAGAAACAATCTCGCAATAAAAAGTATCAGCCTTAGAAAATGACAATAAATATAAATGTTTTAAATCTTATTTACATTACGGTAATCTAAATAAAATGATATTGCCCATTGGTTTAATTTTTATCTTATACTTCTTCGAATTTCACTTTCATTGTTAAAACTTATCGATTTTTTTAAATAAATTTCAACAAACCAACGATACTCTTAAAGACCTCTTATCAATGACTATTAGTTATCATTTTAAACTTCATCTATTCCACAGATCACATTTGTGTACCACAACATTAAAGCTTTATTTGTAGCGGTTTGTAAGTTTTAATATGTGTTACACCTGTAACCAGCAGTCGCTGAAGGGCGGATAGGATCTAAAATCACAACACACAAGGTTTGTTTAACACCTCACACCACGAGAGAACACGAAGTGGTTTCCACGGCACTCTTTTATTTGAAAATTAAAACACGCGGGGGTTTGTACAGAAAAGGGTGGCTAGTGTACCAAATTCTTATGAGTCATCCTGTAAGTTCAGAGCACTCAGGGCTTATTTTCAGCTTCCAAAGCGTTTATATTTGATCGCCCTGAAATAGAAAGAAAACAGAATGGGTTAGCAACATCATACATGGCGATTTCGACTCCGTTACATATGGATTAGTTAATATTTGCGGTCCGAAGGTCATGTCGTTTTTTTTTTTCAAGTTCAATGTTGAGTTCAATTCAAATCTATACAGATTAACTCATTATATTTCACTGATATGTAGCAAAAATATGATAGAATTTATGAAACCAATCTTGAACATTGTGGTCTTACAGCGATTACAGTATAGTTATGTCATCTTGTTGAATGATGTTTGTTTAGCTTAAGAATTCATCTCTTTTGTGATGATGATTTACCTAAGACTATCCGTTGTTACATACACTTCACAAATTCCTGTCCAACTTATAACAAAAACCTGTAAATCATGTATGTGATCTTTGATGTTCATTATACACAAATACACACACACCAGATAACAACAATTAAAAACACATGTCCGCCAATTGCCGTCAACATTTGATGAAAGTAATTTGTTCTTTTCTTTTTTAGGAAAAAAGAAAATTTCTTTTCCATTTAGTCATTAAGAATGATGATGAGGATGATGATGATGATTCATTATTCAACATTCAACAGCATAAATTTATTACACATGATTTCTATTGAATGGAATATTGATTTTCACAGAATGTATTACGTGTTTTCGCTAGTCATACATTGATTGCTATTCATAACATTTTGAATATGTTTGTCTTTTCTATTCTAGTTTTATTCTCGATTTCAATATACAAAATAAAATAAAAAAAAACATGTGCAACGTAAAGTTTAAACAGAAAAATTAATCAAAGCGAATAACTATCGAAGACACCTGTATCTACTATGCTTCTTTGTTAACAGATGTGAAGTTCATTTTGATGTATAACGGAAAATGTTCAGCATAGAATTATGCATGAAATATTTTATACTAATTGAATATTATGTGTGGGTCTGTTGGCTGTTTATTTTTAGGTTTGTAAATATTCTCATAACTATTTGATGATGATGATGATGATATGACGTACAATATGAAAATGAATAATTTCGTCACAATAATAAAATTTTTCAACTATTATGAGATAGTTGTATAAGTCTATATATTAACTGGTAGTTTGGGAATAATTGTGCAGTGGTGACTGACTGTTAAATAATCGTTTTCTACGGTCAAATCAATAAGACTATATCATTTACTAAATAACTTATTGCACTCCGGGGTTGTGAAGATTGTTAAGTCACATCTTTGAAAGCATAAATCGATCAATGTTAGACCACCATTAGAAACCTGGAAGTACTGGACGACCGTTTCGTCCTGGTATGGTACTCATCAACCAGTGAGCCTTCACTACTCCTGCACGACTCAAACCCAGGACTTTCGTCTCGTGTGCGAACGCCCAACTTCTGAACCACTAAGCCAGTACCTAACAGTGTTAATATCTAACTTCGATCAATCCACGGAATTGTGCAACCTCATACACTGTCTTCGGTATTTACTGTCTACACCCAAACAGGTTGAACTTCACTGACCACAACTTCCCACTAGAACTCGGAGAAGATTACTCACGGAGCTATTCCGTAGTGAGCACATGTAATCGCATTACGGGGTTGTGAAGATGAGTCCCATACCATGACGAAACGGTCGTCCAGTGCTTCCAGATTTCAAATGGTAGTCTAAATTTGATCGATTCATGATTTCTAAGGTGTAAATAACTAATAATTAAAGACATTTTTTATGCATCTTAGAGTATAATATTGATTAAGAGCAGATATAAGAATTTTGACAATTCAGCAGTTCTATTTACTTGTATTAAGCTTAGTTCCATCATAAGATAGAAGTGATTTCCCTAGAAATAAATTGCTACATGAAATCGATTTTATAGAGCTAAATTTATTCTATAGATGGATTTAAGAGCTAATATTCGGTCCTTGTTCTCAGTTTTCATACATTAGATTAACAAATATTTATACATACAAACAAATGAGTGTATGTTTATGTTAGGTTTGACACTAGGTAGGCTTGAAGCTATTACGGGTTCACCTTAGTCGATAAACGCGAACGACACAATGAGCCAGCGTCCAGGTAGGCTACCTTGATCCCAAAACGGCAAAACAGAAGTCTTGATAAGCTTAGAAAGTAAGTTCTGCAACCACCCAGCAAGTACAATACAATCAAGCACACAAATCTCGTTTATTTTTACATCACAGAAACGCCCTTGGGACAGTCACAAAAATAGCACACTAAAATACACAGTAGCCAATCACAGCCGAGGATTGTGGGGAATGAAATCTCAAGGTCAGCTGATCAGCCAATGCTGGCAAATTTGAATTGATCAAGTTAGACATTAACACCATTAGATACCGGCCCAGTGGTCCGATGGTTAGGCGTTCGCCTACAATACCGAAGGTCCTGGGTTCGAATCCTGTGGGGTGCAGGAGTCGTGGATGCGCACTGCTGAGGAGTCCAATATCAGGATGAAACGGCCGTCCGGTACTTCCAGGTTTCTAATGGTGGTCTAACATTGATCGATTCATGGTTTCAAAAATGTGTAACTTAACAATCTTCACAACCCCGTAATCCAAAATAAGGTATTTATCAACCGAGATCTGGGGATCTAACATCCCTAACAGTTTACATAAACGATACTAAAATATTTAGATTCTAATTAACTAAATTAAAATAATTACACAATAATCAAATCTCTCATGTGTACTTCCGTCTTAATAGCGTGCGAAACTCTAGACTTTCAGAAGGATAAGTTTTAATTTACTAAAATAACTAAAATCACGTAATATACAATGTCATTTATTAATTAACATCTTTCTTACTATGCTTGCAGGGAGTAGATCAATGCCTAATTAATACCTTGATGTTTATGGGTAAATAACTTTGTGTAAGCGCTAAAAATTATAAAATCTGATAGAATATTTAGTTATAAAATTTGGAAGAAGACTGTTGTTGATTTTTAAGTTTTGTTAATAAATAATAGTTTCTTCCATTGAAGGATGAGTTCGATAACCTTTTTGTATTTTCTTTTAGAGTTATAGAGATCAGTGTTTTGATACATTTGAAAACATCAATCAATCATGATGGTCTAACAATGATTTAAAATGTGTAAAAACACTAATCTCTATAAATCTAATTGAAAATTTTCGTAAAATCTGCTCACTAGTGACTAGTTTCGTGAGGAACTTCTCGGAGTTCTAGTGAGAAGACGTCGCGACCAGTGGGGTTCAACCCTGTCAGGTGTAGACAGTAACTACCAAAGACAAATAGGTGAGGTCGCGCAAAATCCCTAGATCAATCAGAGTTAGACACTAACACCGTTGCATGCCGGCCCAGTGGTCCAGTGGTTAGGCGTTCGCGCACAATACTGAAGGTCCCGAGTTCGAATCCAGCGAGTAGCAGGATTCGTGGATGCGCACTGCTGATGTGTCACATACCAGGATGAGACGACCGTCCAGTGCTTCCAGGTTTCTAATGGTTGTCTAACAATGATTGGTTGACGATTACTAACCTTTACGTAATTCATATTTCGTCAATGTACTTCGATGTTATCTGACTAGTTGATATCACTTTCAGTTTGTCCAACTTTTGATGTTCCAGCATCGTGTTTTTGTTACAGTATGCACAGAGTCATCCCATTTTTATTTGTCTGTGTTAATCGTAATATCAATTTTCCTACTGTCTTATCTCTCTTTTGTGTTACCTCATAGTGATCAGGTATTATCAAAGAGGTACATGTACCAGTATTTCGATGTTCCGTTTCACATCAGATTCTATTCGCATTTAGATTTTCTAGATCGTTTGTGAATAGTTGTTCTTTTAGGCTGAATTAAATAAAATGCCTAACATAAATGATCTCATTCTCTATTCATAAACGGATGTTTGATTTTCAGTTTTATGTTATTCAACTTATGATAAAATTTTATTCAGAAAAATTCAATAATTCTCGAAATTATTAAAGTTAAAATGCCACCTTAAAATTATGTTTATTCCGTGATATGATTGACAGTTTGTGGATATGATATTCTAGTAAGCATATTTTCATTCTAAACTTTACATTGTGATTTAATCTATGTTGAGATTTTTTTAAAGTTATTTTACGATAATATCGTAGTAGAATAACATGAAGTCCTTTGTTTCATGGATTCCCCTCAAGTGTTTTCCATCTAAAATTATGGTATTCATCATTCAAATGAAACAAGTGTACATAATACGAAAGAATTATGATCTCTTCATGTCAGGCTATCTTCACATTTTAACTAAGTATATTCTTGATCATTCTAATCTCAAGTATGTACAGTTTTCCTCATTTTACTGATTACTACTCTGATTTTAGGCTGTTTGTAAGCAACTGAGGTGAATCCGCGAAATAAATGAATTTATGTTATTCAATTAAATTTAATATTCTGTTTAGATTTGAGGCAATGATATTTAAATATATACACCATTTAAAGAAAACATAATTAAATTTAATATTCTGTTTAGATTTGAGGCAATGAATGGCCTATTGAAATTCCTTACATTCAACCGTTCATTAAAAAAATTTCTATAGAGTACTTTTTTCCAAAATAATTGCATGACAAGCAAAATGTCATTACTTAAATATTGAAACGTAATAATTACATTTTGTGAAATTGTTTTTTTATTTGAGACTGGGTGTAATAATTCATATACTAATAATAATATTATTATTATTATCATGATTCATTTCTGTAAACATGATTCATTTCTGTAAACAATGATGTCAATATTTCCCAAAGGAAGACCTCATCAACCAACTAACTAATGTTTATGAATATTCCATTTAGGGAAATTTTCTCTTCAAGTAACCTCCTTACACAATGAATGTGTCATTTCAAAGGCAATGAGATATTATAGAATGCTTACTTATAATAAATATGAAGCAGACTATTTTTTTATTTATTGTGAATTCAGAATTATTTTAAATGAAACAATGAGATTTATGTTATCAAATAGGAGTGTTTTTTTATTTATACTTAAAGTGTTTTTAATGTAAGATGAATGCATGTACGCCCCATTGACTCATCATTATTATTTTTGCATTTATGCTGTTGAAACAATGTGTAATTTACTCTGAGTGATGTTTGATGAAAAAGAACGTGTAAGCTCAAAGTTTTCTTATGCGATGATATATGTATCACAACAATTATGAAGTGCAACGATTATTCAACACTCCTTATATTTTATTTATTTTTTAGTTCTGTCTATCAACCACCCATAATTGTCGTGTCATGAATTTTGACTAGTATGACTTCTTACTAGTAGATATATATGTATAATATTTTGACACTAACTATGGTATAAACATTTTTATAGCTTGAAGTACGTGTACTTTTATGTCGAGCCCATGTGACTTTTGACAAACCTTCGGACAAATTAACTAATCCATTCTATCCGAGCTAATATTCACTCGCCTTTTGACTTGGTCCACTATTCGCCTATATCTTGGTTGCTTCTATTAGAGTATGTGTAGGCATCGCTTACTCCGCTTATTATGTGTCTAGATTATTCTGTCGGATTATAAACGCTTAGTCACTGCTTCATTTCATGGAGTTGGCTAGCTTGCTTTTCTTTGCTTTCACACCTTATATTCACAAGTCTGTCTGTTCGAACGATTGCGTGAAATAAATTCATCTGCAAAACCGTATTCGGCTTCTTATCACCGCCGTCGCACAAACGTAGTTCACCTAAGTATGATATAAGGAAGTGGAAGGGAAGATTTAATTCCTTGCATACTCGAACGTTCACAAATAAAGGAGTCAGCTCAACCACAGCCTAGAATTTTTTGTATTGAGTTCTTGCATTTTGTATTTTTTTCGTTTTTAATCAAGTTTTGTTTATAAGATATATATGCGCATTTTTAGCAGTACAGTACCAGGAAGACTTCAAACTTCCAATAACAAATGGTGTCATCCCAAAGAACAACATAATTCATTATTTTTTTCCTTTAAATAAATGTGAACAAAATTAATTTTGATTAGCGCTCACAGAGTGGTAAAGTAAACCTGTTCAACACACTGTTTGTATCAGTAAATAATTTGAGTTTGTTTTTTCTTATGAATATTTGTTACGCTCGTCTCTAGGTATACTTAAACTATTATGAGTTCACCTTAGTCGAATAACGAGAACAAAATAATGAACCAGCGTCCAGGTAGGCTACTATAATTCCTTTACCAAAATTGTATCAGCGAGAAGTCTTAATATAGCGTAGAAATTGTATTCTACAAACACTCATCCAGCAAACAATGAATTCAAGCACTCAAAATGCGTTTATTTATACTCTATAGAGACGTCCTTGGGACAGTCACAAAAATAGCACACTGAAATGATACATCGACCAATCACAGCGAAGGTTTTTCCTGGTGGGAAATGCTATCTCAAGGTCAACTGATCGGTCCATGAAATAAATCCGAAATTAAGATATTTATCAAGTGAGTTGTGGGGATCTAACATCCCCAACAATATTCAACACTCATAAATAGTTACTTTATTGATTTCAAATGGATTAGTATTTTACAATAAATAGTTATTCAATAAATTTAAATATATAATTATCGTACTGTTAAATTAGTAAATCTTAACAAATATATTTCTTATTTATTTTTATCAATTAGACTCCTCTTTCACCAGCCATAACAGCACAAATTCTTGAAAGTTTAAAACTACCAGACTATCCACTTGTTAAAGTTGCTGATGATCGATGTGCTTCATGTGCGACACAATTTATTCAATTAAAAATTGATGCACTTAGTTATGTGAGAAGAAGTGTTTTATCCGTTACAACAGGAAAATTAACTAGAGTATCACCAACCTTAATGAGATCAAATGCTGATCGAATGACCAGATTACCTGATGAAAATGTATACTGTCAATCTTCCAGAGTAGATAACGCTAAATTAGATTGGATAAGGTAAGTTAACAAATTTTTTTAAATAAAGTGTTTGTCATTATTTGTTTTTAAAGTAAATGAAAATTTTATGAATTATTAGTAATCGTACCTCAGAGTTTTCGCATGATGAACTGAATAATCTTTTTTCTACTGTCATGAAAACTGAGTTATCTGCTCGCGTAAGTTTAAATTTCACTCGAGTTTTTTTTCCAATATTTTTTTTTTCGTTAACATTTCAATTTATATATTGAGATTATGCTACTATATTATAACAAGTAGTATGATTCAAGCAACCAAATTAGTTAAGGTAAGCTTTCTTCACTGTTTGAAGTCAAAATATAATTTAAAAAAGAAATTTTGCGAAGAAACAAAACAAAGATGTAATGTGACCTGCTGTTGAAGGCTTTTTATTCGTAAGAAAATAACAAGATTTGAACAGAATTTATGAAGTCTTTTAAAAGAAACAATGAATGCCACTTCCTGTTAGCGTTAAGGTCGTTTTGATGCTTATTTGGAAGATTTTCCATACTTGCTTACGAAAAACTAAAAAAATTCATAATTCAAACAAGAAGTTGCACAAAGGGAACAGCTTCAAGAAATTCGATTTCTAAATTTATTATCTCACCAGAAACTCATATCTTTCAAAAAATCCTCAAAAATATGGAAAATTATTTATAGAACATATAGGTAAAAAACAAATTAGTTACTTCACGCGGGTCAGTGTGCAAAATGTAAATGAGTCTACTATGCATCAAGTGTCTGATATCATGTTTCAAATTCCTTTTAGTTTTATTTTCATGTTAGGTGTGTAATAATCCAATATATTTTAGTCATAGATTCCCAAGAAATACATCACGAAATATTGTTTAATATGAAAAAAGACTGAAAATTATGCTTGATAATTCTACCTTGGTATCTATGTTGAAACCATTAACATCAAGTTGTCTTAGGACTGAGACAGTGTTAATTAACAAGCTATCTGTGTTTTTACTTCTCTGGGAAAGCAAATTGTACTGTGTGTAGTTGGAATCGTTCCACTCTTTTACTAACTGAAGCCGGTGTGCCACAAGCAATTGTCTCCTCGTCTTTTGCTTTCATAAGCTCTGATCTTCAACAAAATTATAAGAATGACCTTTCTGTATATAACTGACTTTTTCCAAGTTCCCTTCCTTCCTTCCTTCTCATTAAACTTCACAATTTTAAAATGAAAAATATCGACTTAGATGTAAGAATTCATGAAACACATGAAGCATGTATAGTTAGAAACTTAGTATTTTTTTTCCTGATCACATCTAATCTTCCTATGTGTTGTTAATATCAAAGAAATTTTTCTATCTGGTTTATTATAAAGTGCAGTAATATGTGCTTGGTATCATTCAATTAAGTAGTAATTTCCTTATCTATATCTTTTGGAAGAATGAAGTTCAGATAGATAGAGAAATCTATATATATGAAAATGAAAGTACTATATTTTTACAAAACTGTATAAATCATTTCTGTTATATGTTAACAAAGCTTTTAAAATTGACTTATATTACAAATAATCGCAAAAATTCACAGGCTATAACGTTTACATGCTGTATTGTTCCTAAAACCTGGCCGATTTTACAAATGTTAATGTTAATATGTAACTGTAAAACCTCAAAGGAATTAACTGAAAATAATAATCTACGTCTATATAGCTCTCCTTTAAAGTAGACTTGAACAAAAAACATGTGACATTAAAAAAATAGACCACCCATATTATTATTATACATTGTTATTTTTTCTCCTATAAAACAAAAAATTAATGTTACATAATTTTAGAAAGAGAGAGACATAGATACCGAACGCCGACTTTGTACTGAATATATAGAAAATTATTGCATACCATTTTATCCGCGATTAAAATGAAGTTTGATGATGTTTGTTGTGGTGGTGTTTCGTTCTCTGAGCTAGTTGTTTTGGTTGTGGAGCTTTGGCCCAATTTATCAACCAATCAGAAAAATCATAGGTGACATAGGATCAAGAAACAGTTCAGAAAGGGGATACAATCAAAACAAATGCGCAAACAACGACAGGTTTAAGGTCAACAACAACCAATCAAGACTGAGGTTAGCAGAACAAGCTACAGGTCAAACGTGGAGAAATTCGAATACTTCACTTCTATCTGAAGTTTGTGCTGATGATGTTGTTCAGAAGAACAACGAAAGCTCCACAACCAAAACAACCAGCTCAGAGAACGAAACACCACCACAATCATCCACCTGAGCTACAAGTTTTCTCCAACATCTCAAGATGATGATTGTCTATGTTATTCGAAATATACGCACAAGATAGAAATCTAGTCAATAATTTATCGATAGTTGAAAAGGTAACTTGTAATTCACCTAAAATAGAAAACTACTGAAATAAATGAGAATGTTATTTGAACATTATCAGAGAAATAGATGTATTTTAATGATCAGATTTAAATTATATACATAAAATAATTGAGATAAATATTATTATTTCTTTATAAATTATTCAATAAACTTAAATATAAATAGAAAACTAATTATTATTATATCAATGAAATGAGTTTTATAGTTTTATATGAAAATAAAAATTCATGTTTCAATGCTTCAGTGAGTTTTTTTCATTTGCATTTAATCATGAGATCACCATAATCGTGACACAGTAAGCTCAAACGTATGTCATTTAAATGTTATACATCAGTGAATTTTATGAGGTTTTGTATAGTATTATATTTGACAAACATCGATACGCTTGGTTTTCGGTTTTTTTTTCTATGTATTTCACAGAATTTCGAGACTAAATTAGGATGATAAATGAAACTACTAAAATTGAAAAAGTAGTTTGGAAGAATTCACAACATTATTTGGGTTAACCA